TTTAAAACAATTTATAAATATCTTAGAGAAATGAAGGCTTCAGAGCAAATGCAATACAATTTCCTTTATAACTAATTTTCCAAGGGGGTTAACTTGTTGAAAATATTTGATCAGCACTGATTTTCGAAAGTGTCAAAGACATAGCTGATATAAACCTATGATATAAGTTTCATAAAATTCTGACAAGAATTGTACACATGAGAGCACTAAAAATGCAATTTTCCATAAAATCAATATATCCAAGGGACATAACTCTTTTAAAAATAATTGATCTGAACTGATTTTTAAACTTTTCTGAGACATTGATGATATAAACCTGTAATATAAATTTCATAAAAATCTGGGAAGAATTGTACACATGAGAGTGCTAACAATGCAATTTTCCATATAATCAATATTTCCAAGGGGCATAACCATGATAACTCTTTAAAAATCAAAGCACTGTAAGCACTGTTGGCAGTTAACCAAAAACCAAGGCAAACGTAATTATGAAAACTGTGGCAGTGTTGTTTCAATTTTTTTTTAAGATTTGAAAGAACAAACATTAAACATTCGTATATTGTACATTTATGTTCATTAAATGAATTGATTATTAAGGCAAATTAATTAATATTTCATCAAGGTTTTCAAAAGCAACTCATATATCAATGTAAATGACCCCCATCTTCACCCCCAAGTGCATGATGTTACTCCATACCAAGTTTGGAATAAAATGACAGGTGATTATAAAACAGTTGGTCAAACATTCTCGGGCTTTACACTGCTTGAAAGGTTTATATGTTTTCCTTAAAATGAGCCATAAATGAAAATTATTATAGGCCCAGAAATGATTTAATAAATAATTAAAGTAAATTCAATTAACCTAGACTCATTTTTTGCATCAATAAATTTTATAATAGACAAGAAATAATTGTAACAGGATGCCGTTACGAAGTCTCCCAAACAAAGCCCCCATAATTCGTCATTCCCATGGTCTCCGGACATTGGGCAAAGTCCAGTTCATATTGGTTTGGTCTAGTAAAGTGATATGCATATGTGACACCTAGGAGATTGACCCTGTATGTCATACAAATCTTTTTGAAAGGATGAACAGGAATAAATATAGTTTAGGTGTGGGTATCTCGACTGTTTACAAGTTCTCAAACAGGAGGGGGTGGGGTGAACCCAGGGACTCTCCCTATATTTCATTTGATTTGTTATATTGTCCCATACATGAATACATATGGTTTAGGGGTGGGGATCTCGACTTTTTCCAAGTTCTCAAACAGGAGGGGGTGGGATGACCCCAGGGACTCCCCAAATATTTCATTTGATTTGTTATATTGTCCCATACATGAATATATATGGTTTAGGGGTGGGGATCTCGACTATTTCCAAGTTCTCAAACAGGAGGGGGTGGGGTGACCCCAGGGACTTTATTGTCCCATACAAGTATATATATTGTTTAGGGGTGGGGATCGCGACAGTTTACAAGATAAAAGTACATTTTCAAATTAAAAGGGGGGGGGTGGGATGACCCCCAGGGACTCACCCTATATTTTGGTTGATTTTTTTTATTGTCCTGTTCTCATTACTGAAGACTGCATGTGTCTACCACTTACTGTTTTCGCGAAATAGTCATTTGAAAATTTAAAAAAATAAAATCCCATAGGGTTCTATAGTAAACCCCTCCCTTCTTCAGGCCCCTCCAAATACCCCTAAATAGACCCCAATGCACAAACAAAAGAGTAATGGCTCCGCTAGAAATGTTAGTATAATATTTTATGAAACCCTAAGTAAATCTGACAAACGGTCAAAGTTGTCTTCTTAGAAGGTTTGAGTGGATTCGGTCCGACTTGTCTCGGGGACTAATTGTCCACATTACTTAAAACATCCCATCAACGTCGATTTCCGCATCTGTTTCTCGTTTCATTCATAAAATAACAACAACCTTATTTGGCAAGATAAGTTTGAAAAATTACCGCCCACTTATATAACTTTATTTCCTCTATCATAGAGATTGGTTGTACATGAACAATATTCCTGCGCATTTTGCCATTTGGGAAATATAAACGACTTGTAATTACCGATTTTCGGCGATGAAATATTTCATACAATTGTTCTTTGACATCGTAGCCAAAAGCACAGGGGATAATAAACTACGTACGGATTTCTATTGAGCACTACTTCCTATGTGCAACTTCAAAAGTTTTGGGTAATTCGACGATCATTTAAGGTTTTTCTGGTCATATTTTTTGTATTCCAGAAATAAAAGTATTAAAAAAATGTCCAATTAGTTATAAATAACATAATAGCCAGCTAGATAATAACAATGGCACGTATTTCAGCATTTATTGGGTAGAACACAAATCTAGGGTGCTCGCATAAGGCAGCTTAACTGCCTAATAATTGACAGGCACTGATTTTCGAACTTGTCAAAGACAAAGATGATATAAACCTATAATATAAATTTCATAAAAATCTGGCAAGAATTGTACACATTAGACATGTTCATGATGTTAGAGCACTCATCAGGCAATTTTCCATATAATTAATATTTCCAAGGGGCATAACCCTTTTAAAAATATTTGATCTGCACAGATTTTCGAATTCATCAAAGACATTGCTGATATAAACCTATGATACAAGTTTCATAAAATTCTGACAAGAATTGTACACACATGACACATGAGAGTGCTAATATTGCAATTTTCCATATAATCAATATTTCCAAGGGGCATAACTCTTTTAGAAATACTTGATCGGCACTGATTTTCGAACTGGTACAAGACATTGCTGAAATAAACATATGATATAAGTTTCATAAAAATCTGGCAAGAATTATACACATGAGAGCACTAACAAGACTTGATGGACAGACGGACAGACTCCCGGTATTTCTATGTCCCCCGCAACGCGTTCGTGGGGGACAATAACTATATATATATATATATATATATATAGAGATGTAATTTTTGTGAAAATTAAGTACCCAATTAGTGGAGCTGTACTTAAGTACTGACTTAAAAACAGTAGACTTTTATTCACCTTGTACATGTTGTATGAGAAATAAATATTGCAAGTAAATGTTTAACAAAACTTTTTCAAGTCAAGTGAAGATGTAATAAAATAAAAGAACAGAATTTTAATGTCTCCCCTGTTGCACATATTTTATATGTCCAAGGCAATAACTAATACAAATAAAATTTGCTAAATCGTTCTTTTAAACTTTGAAAAAAATATCAACATTTAGGGCCTAAATTATACATGTTTTAGGCATGAGATCACTAAAAATATTTTTTTTTACTTTCCATATTTTTCTATTTCCAAGGGGCAGGGTTCTCACTAAGATAAGTCCATGAGTCCATAAAAATTTGTCTGGACTCATCATTTTCAAAACTAGTGAGTCCAAAGATGCATCAAGATTCTAAAATGTTGTAATCAACTGAGCACAAATATTGTTATTTTATGACAAAAGTTTCATAAAAAAAAAAGTTCCAATGTCCCCCGCATTGCACATATTTATCTATCCAAGGTACAAGGGCAATAACTAAAAAAAGATTTTTTTGTTGTTCTGTAAGACTTTATTATTGTGAACCAAATGAAAGTTTTCCACAGGGTCATCTCCTCTTGGTCAAGGTTATATCTGATTTAAACGTTTGTCTGTTCTTTTGTCCCATTCAATAAATACAATAGCTATTGTTCTCTGTGTAGTTTATTCACTGGGACCTTTAAATTTCTTCTAAGAGAAATCTATCACTCATTGATTAGTTTACCTGAGTAAAATAAAATATCTTCTAAGTTGATGAAAATATTATACATGTATTATTACTCACAGAACTGCATGTGATGTTGTATTTTATAATGTTTGAATCAGTGTTTACATTGAACAGATTGAAAATATATTATTATTATTGAATAAATACAACATCACATGCAGTTCTGTGAGTAATAATACATGTATTTTCATCAACTTAGATCATTTTTTTCTATAGTCACTGATATGGAACTTGTCTATTGTCTGAATATGCTGAGACTTTGCCATGTATTTGCCACAACATTTTGATATACAGTAACACCTTTGATATAAATTTCATAACCATCTGGCAAGAATTGTACACTTGAGAACACTATTACTTACAATGCAATTTTATATAGAATTTACATTTCTAAGGGACATAACTCCTGATAAAATTATTGATCAGCACTGATTTGCAACACTTCTGAGACATTGCTAATATAATCCTACGATACAAATTTCAAAACAACCACCAGAACCACCCCCACACACCTGGATCCGCCACTGCACAGGGCCTTGAAATAGTCGTCAAACTGATTTGTACTGATAGTGACAGCACCTTTTCCTTTATATCAAATATGTTAAATATCAATGATTTATTACAAGTAGTTCCTATCAAACTAACTTAAGCAGAAAACTTAACAATTGTTTACACCACTGCCGCAGCCAATGTAGCAGCGGGAAAAGCAATCCCTCTGGGATGACATGTTGGTATGTTGGTACACAGATTCAAGTGACTGTGGTTGGCATTTAACTGGTTGGGAACAAACCATCTATAAAGGTATAAACACCATATAGAGGGTTTGTTCCCAACCTGTTAAAAGTAAAAGATCCATGTGAACTCGTACCTGAATTTTATTAACGAGTTAATAAAATTCAGGTACGAGTTGGGAAAGGTACGAGTTTATATAGATCCTAAAACACGGAAGTGTACAATTGACATAGTTTTCCTAATGTCATTTCTCTAAAACGGTTCAAGATAAAATAGAAATTGAAACCGATTTTTATAGCTAATGAATTGGTCTACAATTTTAAATAAATAATATTTGACGGAATGCAGTTTTACTAAAAAAAAAGTTGACCGGAAGCCTTGAAAGATCTTGATTGTTTCAATTTGGTTTTGCAACTTTACAATTTCGACTCGTATATAAAATAAGACCGCTGTCCCAAACTTCATTAAATGTGTTTATAAGGGCTCTTCATGACTTCATAATCAAGATACCTCAGATTATAGGCGTAGTAAACTGTCTTCTATGTTAGTCTACATCTGAGGAGATGCGCAAACTCCGACCTGTGAGGCTGGTGTCCATTACCGGTATCTGCTCCTGACTAGGAGAATACCCTAAGGCCTCTGAACTTCGGGAATAAATTAAACTCATCACAAATACCAGCAGTGGCAGATCCAGGGGGTCCGGGGTTGCCATCAATACTTTTGAATGGGGACATATGGTTGGACCTCCCCCCACACACACACTTTTATCTGGGGTTGGAAAAAATTTCGCACTCGAGTTTTTACATATATATATAGCTTTTTTCAGTAATTTAAAAATTTAATTCTTTTAAAATATGTGCATTTAGATTTAAATTCTAATTTGATCATGTTTTCTTTACAAGGACTGTATAGTTTTATTCCTTTAGTGTGCATCTAATTTGCAATGTTTATCAAGTTATAAAATTGAGAATGGAAATGGGGAATGTGTCAAAGAGACAACAACCCGACCGCATAGAGCAGACAACAGACGAAGGCCACCAATTGGGTCTTCAATGCAGCGATAAACTCCCGCACCCGGAGGCGTCCTTCAGCTGGCCCCTAAACAAATATGTATACTAGTTCAGTGATGATGAACGTCATACTAAACTCCAAATTATACACAAGAAACTTAAATTAAAAATGATACAAGACTAACAAAGGCCAGAGGCTCCTGACTTGGGACAGGCGCAACAAATGCGGCGGGGTTAAACATGTTTTTTGAGATCCCAACCCTCCCCCTATACCTCTAGCCAATGTAGAAAAAAAAAACGCACAACAGTACGCACAGTAAAACTCAGTTTAAGAGAAGTCCGAGTCCGATGTCAGAATAGGAAACAAAAGAAAATAAACAAAATGACATGCAATAATACATAAATAACAACAGACTACTAGCAGTTACTGACATGTATTTTTAACTAATTAATACAAATTAAAAAGTATATTTGCCATTGTCTTCTGAGTGAGTGAGTGAGTGAGTGAGTGAGTGGCGGATCCAGAACTTTTCATAAGGAGGGGGGGGGGGGGGGGGGGAGGGCTGACTGACCTAAGGGGGACCCGCTCCAGTCATGCTTCAGTGATTCCCTATATATATCATCTCTTGACCAAAATAGCAAACTTCTTTTGTTTAAGCATATAAAAACTGAATATAAACAAGAATTTTATTTGATGTACCCAAATCTTGATACAAGAAAACTTAAATGCAAATTTAGAATAAGTGATCATTCCCTCGCTATTGAAACTGGAAGATATAAAAATATTCCACGCCCTCAAAGACTTTTTAATAAGTGCAAAGTTCTGGATGATGAATCCCATTTTTTTTAATATGTAAAATAGATGATGATTTAAGACATGTCTTTTTTAATGATTTAAAAACTCAATACAAAGATTTTTCTGATAATAAAATGAAATATATACTAAATCCAACCACTAGTCAGCAAGTGAAATCTTTAGGCTCCTTTATTAAACAGTCTATGGAACTGAGGGCAGGGGGCACTTGAGGTCATTTGTTGTGTTTAATGTTTTAGTTTATTTTTATTTTTTATGTAAATTTTAATGTCATCATTATATTGTTCTTATTACATGTAATTGTCATGCCTTTGGCCCTCTTATGGGTGTAATTTGTGCTTCAATAAAGTATATAATCAACCAAATTTTTCCCTAAAAAGGGGGGCGGGGCAGCCCCCCCTCCCCCCCCCCCCCCCCTGGATCCGCCTATGGTCTTCAATGAACTCACAAAATCCGCAAATTACCGATAATTTCCGTGTATACTTCACGTTTAATTCCCGCCGTATGTTCCGATGACATTTAATTATATATATACTTTATTGCAAAAAGTGAAATCCTGCATGACGGGTTAAAATGCAAACATAATATACACAAGTGACAATTAAGAAACATACAATACATAAAAAAAGTGTTACATGTAAAGAAGTCAAGTTAATATTAATAATATATATATAAGTATATAGATAATTGACCAATATGGACCTTATTTTCGCAATTCCATTGATTGCTTTATATAGCCTACAACACTAGACAAAATATCTTTATTGGGATCTAAAATAGTTTTAAGTTTAGAGTTTGAGTCAAGCTGGTCAAAATTAGGATAATGGGTTTTAATTGCATTTATAAGGGGATTTCTAATATTACCGTTGATTTGGCAAAGAAGGAAAAAGTGTTCCTCATCATCTAAAATTTTACAAACTTTACACACTCTGTGTTCTCCGAGCTTTGAATTTTTTTATATCGACCTATTTCAATTTCCAAGTTATGGTCACTTACACGGAATTTTGTTAAAAGTTGACGACTATTAACACTGTTTAGATTGTGCAAGTAGTCTTCCAGTTTACCATGTTTACTATAAAGGTAAATTTTTGAACTGTTATCGATATTTGAAAGTTTTTCAAGAGTGATTTTATCATACTTTTCTTTAACAATATGTTTAAAAGTTTTTTTAAGTGAAATTTTTATATGTTTATTTAAAAGGTTTATCAAAATCAACACATTCTTCTTCATCAATATTAAATTCTTTAAAAATGTGCTTGGCAAAAGTGTACCAAAGATATATTCCATCTTCAGACATAGACTTATTTACTTTGGAAGCTTCTTTAACAAGAGGGTTTATTTCATGACAGTTAATTCTACAAAAATATAATAAAACTTGAGTTTTTATAAAGGAGTCAAGTGGAAACCGTCCTAACTCAGACTTAGCAGCTATATTACATGAGGTTTTTTTAATTCCAAGAACAGTTTTACAAAATTTATGATGCACTTTCTCAAAGCTGAATCTATCTGTCAAGGATAAAATATCACAGTTAGTTCCATGCATTTTGGCTCTGTTTATGGCTAAAAATTGAGTAATAATCTTCCATAAACCAAATTTCGCTATTATACAAAATTATGGGTTTAATTAGTGAATCAAATAATTTGCATGATAAATCGACAGGGACATGATGAAAATTAGACATATATTTTTTTAGTGAAAATAACGCTTTAAGCGCTTTCTTGGATAGTTCATGTGTGGATCTCTTAAGTCTTCCTTTATTATCAATAATGTTCCCAAGAAAATTATACTCTTTAACTTCAGTTAACTGATTTTGTTTATGAAAAAACATTGACTCGAAAGGATTTCTAGAATGAAAAATTAATTTTAGTAATATTTTTCCAGTTTATTCAAAGCAGATTGTAAACCGTTTTGTGATTCTGATAATATTAAAAGATGATCAGCAAAACCAAGACTTCTTATTGATGTTTCGTCTAAGGACACAGGAGCACACGTCCTATCAAAAATTGAATGGAGATCATTAATAAAGCAATTAAACAATGTGGGGCTCAAACCGTCCCCTTGTTTGACCCCTTTATTTATTTTTAAAAAGTCAGATTGTTTATTATCTATTTTAACTGAAGATTCACAACACTTATATATATATCTTTAATTACTTCAAATATTTTCTTTCCAACATCATCCTTCTTTTATTTGTATAAGAGACCAGCATGCCAAACAGTGTCAAATACACGACGCAAATCAACAAAGCAAGAGTAAAGTTTACTCTTCTTTTTTGTCAAATATTTTATTATCAAAGTTTTTAGAATAAAAATACTATCTGCTGTCCTATGATTATTTCTAAATCCAAATTGATGAACTGAAAATTTTTCTTCGTAGTAAGTTACCACTCTAGAACTAATAACAGCACTAAAAAGTTTAGCAATATGATTTTGAAGAGAAAGTCCCCTAAAGTTATTAATATCTAGCTTGTCTCCAGCTTTATGAATAAGTTTGGTAAAGAATTTTCTCCAATTTGATGGATATTTACCAGAATCAAGAATTAAATTAAAAAGCTTAGTTATAGCTTTATAAGTAACAGCACCACTGTATTTAATAATTTCATTAGAAATTTGATCTGGACCAGAGCTTTTCCCAGTTTTTAATTTTTGTATACATCTATTTACTTCATTGATAGTAAAAGGTTTATCAGTTACCTCATTGAATAACGGTTCATTTGTTTCTTTTAATATATCGGTTTCAATTTTAGCTTTAAGTTCTTTATCATAGTTTCCGGTCTCTCCTTTATGCTTGAAATGATCAATAATTTCTGGGAAACCAGCTTGAAGCTCAATTCTATTATTAGTGGTCTCATATTTTAATGATTTAGTAATTTCCAATATTGTTTAGGGTCTGTATCTCTAAGGGCTGAAAGCTTACTAAAATTTCCTTTTTAAATTGATTTTTCTTTCTTTTTATTAATATTTTACATAGTTTACAGTGACCAAGAGAATTATTTCTTAAATTGAGGTTATAAGGATTTATTCGTAATAATTTGGCTAGATTTGATACAGTTTTCTTTACATCAGCTAATTCTCTATCTTCCCATGGCTTTTTCTTTTTTTTATTTCTTATTAATAATTTTACATGAGCGCATGAGCTAAATATTTTATTTAGTTGAAGTTCTGCTCTCTCAACCCCAGAACAATTTATTTCGAATGGTGTATTTTCATAACCAAGAATTTCATCTCTGGTGCTACTTTCTTCTAAAACAGTATATAATTTTTCCTTAGAAATAGTCTCCCATTTAAATGCCATATCTATCTTACTATATTTTCTATCTATATTCATAGTTTGCATGGATATATTACATTTTAAAAAGACAACAATTTGAGCATGATCAGATAAATATGAAGGGTATAAGATTTGAAAAAAAAACTAACAGAGTTAATAAGGTCCACACTGGTCAAGGCATAGTCAACAATACTACACCCACTGGGTTTAAAACACGTCATATTTCCCAGCATATCACCAATAAAACGACCGTTCAATACTCTTAACTGGGAGGCAATACAGAGATCAATCAACTGCTGGCCTTGCGAATTAAAAACTTTATCTAAAGAATTTCTATCTATATTAAAATCTTGAACATAATCCTCTGGAAGTATATCTTGAAAAGAACTATGCATTTTTTTTCATCTGCAATAAAATCATCATGATTTGCAATTCGAGCATTCAAATCCCCAATTACCAGAACACTACCTTTATCAGA